AAAAAATGATAGTTAAAGCACATTAGGTATCATGTGTTTTGCCATAACAATGGCATGCAAAATATTAGTGTTAAAAATTTATACATAAATAATCTACTAAGAGAGAAAGTAATAATAGTAGTAAAATAGGACCTCTCCTGTAGATAATTATACATTGTCAAAAAAATCCTTCAAATTAGAAAATTCCTTATTCTTTAGCCATTCTCGTAATGTCTTCTTAAATAGTATTTTGTTGTTCATCTTCAATGTCTCTGGAATATGATTATAAGAATCTTGTACACATATTTTCACAGTTTTTTCTGTACTGTGCCATAATCATATATATATATATCCTAATAGTCACAATAATATATATTTAATTCACTTTCAACAGGATGTTGCAAGTTTAAAAATAGAACTAATAAACATGCTGAGGTTTTTTTTCTTATGGATGATAATGGAATGATGCACCTGCCTGAGCAGTTTACGCTGGCGGTGTCAGTGGAGGATGATAAGATGAGGTCTGGTCAGTAGCCCATCGTAGTAAATTCACAATTAACTTATCCCGATGGTTTCCAAGGGAACCCACGTAGTACATGCCCTTACCATTACTAGCAAGTAATGGTGAGGACATTAGTCCACATTACTAACATGACACACAACGGAGGATGGTGCCCCATCAGCGTAAACCGTTAGCGCAGGCGGGAGCACCATTCCATTATCATCCTCTAAAAAAAAACACTTTCCTCCGGGGGAAGGGGATTGTTAGTAATGTGGACTCATGACCCCAGTACTAGCAATGTATCATGTCAGGTTGACCTCAACGCGGTTTCCCCTGGAAACCATCGTGATAAATTTCTGGTGAATTTGTCACCATGGGCTAACTGACCTGACCTCATGTTCATCTTATCATCCTCCACTGATGCCCCGCCATATACCGTTAGCGCAGGCGGGTGCACCATTCCATTATCATCCATGAAAAAAAACAACTTTTCTCCCTTATTTTAATTAACGCTTTCTATATAAATAAAAAAGTAACTAACAATGGACAACTCATATAGACCAAACAAACGGAAGTAGGGTACCTAATAATAAGGGCTGCATACCATATAGTAATATGAAAGGCCAGTATGCATACCATATGAGGAATTGTTGTTCAGTTACAAGATTTTTGTATAATTTATCGAATTAGATGTTATTTTGCGAAAGTCCATTTCAAATTTATATTAGGTACTATAGTGTGGTCGATACTATACAATAAAATATGTAGGTACACAGTGCAAAGTTATTTTTATTATTATATATCATTACCATTTAGCGAGAGAAAAACAGCGAGGCCAATACAAACAGACGTTGTCAAATGTTTGTATTGCTTGGCGATCGAAATCGAACCTACGATACAACCCTGGTAGTGATGTTTACAGTTGATATTGAAAATCGGCTTATTTTATTTATATTTTAGTCTAGTTTATTTGACGACTGGCTGATCCTATTTACATTATATATTTATATATACACGCATTTTATGTATTTTCCACAGTAAAATACACAGTGTAGTTGAGGTGTACTCGATTTTTTTGCCTTTTCATTATTTTTACCAATATTTATTTTACCACACATGTGGTTTATTTACAGTTCTGTATTTTTATGTTATATTTAGATGTATACATAACGACTGTATTTAGGTATATAATTGAACATTTTTTCAATTTGATTTAATTTAGAAAGCGTGGAGACAGACTTTGATGGACGCGGGTTCGATTCATCACATGGTACAAACATTTGTATACATTAGTATGATTGTTTGTATTACTCTGGGCGTTTTATAAGTATATTATGTATGCATTTAAAAATAAAAAAATATTTCGGTATTCAATACAAATATACATTTTTTAATAAATACATACATAATATTCTTACAAAATATATAAACCGATTCAAAAAATATATTTATGAATACAAATGTTTGGATCGTACGAGGAATCGAACCCGCGGTGGTGCGCTAAACCGCTAGACCACGGAGGTCGTAAATTATTACGCCACGAAGCTCTCATCAATGTTATCTACCCTCAATCAATTGTTATTCGCCATCATAATCAAAACACTCAAATTACAATAACGTACCTAAATGATCGGTGTAATCAAATCACAACACCCTTAGGCTGTATACATACAAGCGTATTGTGTTACACGCGTCATTAAGGGATGTAACGTATTACGTAAGTACTATGAAAGGGTTACCCTCGATTACGTGCGGTTTGATTGCTGATAGCTATGGATTAGTACTGCTAATGATTTCTAACCTATTATAACACACCTTTAGTGTTGCCATTCAAAGTATATAAGAGACAATTCATAAATGACTTTAATGATTTTTTGACTTCCCCTCACATCCATCACATATTGATACTATGAGACTAGTCGTTCCTAGTATGACGTCACATGTTTTACAATATTATATTTATTTAATAAAAAGTAATTTAAAAATTATAAATTTTGCATTTAAAATATTTTGTTTAAATTTGGAGACTGGATATGTGACGTCACGAAACTTGTCATCGACACCGTTTCTTATGTAATATACGGATGACCAAATACAAATAGAAATTGTGTTCCAAATTCAAATTCTTAAAATAAAATGGGATATAAATGTCAAAATTGCCTTTTTAATTTGATGTGTTCATTCTACCATATATAAACAAAATGTATATAATGTTCAAAATCCACAAATAAGTTTTTTACCCAATCTTCTTGGTTGAATCTGCCTTTTGAATATGATGAAGCAGCTGTTCTGTGTTTCTGCTGCTTCAATGAAGATATATTTAATAAATAAAAATTAGACGATAGTCACATAAATTTTACATTCATCTAGGTAGAGTTTGTACAAAGTCGTCGGTATGTATTGGTCGGTATATATGTTAGTAATGGAGCCTAGTGTCCATTGCTAGCAATATACCATGTTAAGACGACCATCACGCGGTTCACCCAGGAAACCGTGGTTAATTCCAGGTTATTAAATCACGATACGCAAACTGACCTGACCTCGTACTCATCTTATCATCCTCCACTGGTGCCCCGCCAGCGTAAACCGTTAGCGCAGGCGGGTTGCACCATTCCTTTATCTATATACTAATATTATAAAGCTGAAGAGTTTGTTTGTTTGTTTGAACGCACTAATCTCAGGAACTACTGGTTCGAATTGAGGAAGGTTTTAAGCTTATATAACAATATACTACGACCAATAGAAGCGAAGCATCAGTGGAAAATGTTGCAAAGACGGGGAAAATTATTTGAGGGTTTCCGTTGTGTTCGCTGCATAAACGGTTCAACTTACCCAAAGAATATGTATGAAAGAATTATTCCTCTTTACCACACGAACGAAGTCGCGGGCACAGCTAGTCATTAATAAAAAACAGTATGTATTTAACAAATACGCAATGTAATCGGAATTTGAAGCAATGAAACAAATAACCACATACTAATTGAAATCGTAGCTTTATTAAAACTGAGGTGACATTTAGTGTGGCCGTTAATTTGTTGAGCGTGATGGTATTTAGTGGCCGAGTAATTTGTCATCGTAACCACAGCGCCAATTAACAGGGGCCCGGTGACACGCGAGCGTGACAAATCATCGCGTAGTCACGCCATTGTCATCTTCACTGTCTCCTACCCTTAACGACTTGTTACAATTGTTTAATTAATAGAAAAAAACGTCGTGAATTATTTATTTGCTTAGGTACCCTGACTTATTAGTCTCACTAGACAAATAAGATTATATGACATGACTCTTAAGGTTTATGAACTCCATAGATCATCAATTTTATGTTATTAGAAGGATTGTTAGTAATATGTGTCAGGTTAACCTCCACGCGGTTTCCCCTGGAATGATGGGCTAACTGACCAGACCTCATATTCATCCTATCATCCTCCACAGGTGCCCCGCCAGCGCAGTAGGGGAAAACGATCCATTATCATCCATTGAAAAATAGTAGTACAAATACACTATATTTGAATGTAATGGTAAACTTTTTGTGTTAATTTATTTTTCTAATTAACAATTCGGTGATGAGAGAGAGGGGTTTTTTTATGGATGATAATGGAATGGTGCACCTGCCTGCACTAACGGTTTACGCTGGCGGGGCACCAGTGGAGGATGATAAGATGAACATGAGGTCAGGCCTGTTAGCCCATCGTGGCAATTTCTCCAGAAATTTAACACAATGGTTTCCAGGGGGAACCACGTAGAGGTCAACCTGACATGGTACATTGCTAGCAATGGGGTTAGCAACCCACATTACTAACAATCCCCCTCCCCCCGAGAGAGGGGGTTGTTAAGGCGGTGTATTAAACAGCTACACCACCAAGACCGTTATTGTGTCTCTCACCTGTGACTTTGAAATGAATACCAGCCCATTTCACAAATGTAACATGCATTAATATGTTACAGGGCTGAGATGTGAAGGGTTTAATCCCTTCATTTGGAGATGCTCCGTTTAATTAAACAATAATGCAACGATTATGTCTCTACAATTAAGGGTGGCCAAATGTTCCAAAATGTATTGAAATTCGTTAATTGTTGAGACTTTAATACATTTTGTACAGATTTTTTTTTTCTAAAACACATACAAACATACCGACAGAACTATTATACCAGATGAGGTAGACAGAGACATTATCAATGTAGAGTAACTCTTTTTTTAGCTAGAGTTGAACTCACGACCTCTTGGGCGTAAGTCTGAGTAGCCACGATGCTCTAAAATCTTTTCCTAAATTCATTTAGGCGTTTAAGGAATAAGTAGTAAAAAATTGGAAATTCCTAACATAAGACTTAATAAATACTGTTGCAAACTAACTATTATATCTTACTAATATTATAAACGCAAAAATTTGTGAGTATCGATGGACAGATGAATGGATATTTGTTACTCTTTCACGAAGACTGAAGTATGTAATAGATAAAACTTCTTTAGCAGTTTTACGAAAAATGCTCTTTAATTTGTCAATCAAACAATGACAATGTCGTTTTTGTGTCTCGTGTATTTTTTATGAATTTATTTTATAACCGCTTTACATTAACGTCTTATTATGAAAGCGTATATTCTTTTAATCATATTCATGTTTAAAACTTTAACATGCGAAAAATATGAGTACTCATACAATGTTGGAACAGTACTGTTTTCTCCTTTAGACACGAGAAAACCATATTGGAGCAAGACAGATATAAGCTTACTTCGAGCAAGACTATATTTCCAAAAGTTACTACCACCTCCTAATGTTAAAAGTACCTCCATCAATAACTATATTGATTCACTACTAGGATACATCAGAAATACTTACATGACCATCAAAAGAGAAGCACTCGATGCAAGGTCTGATAATATCATGATCACAGCATTTTGTGACACTATAGGAGGGTACCTGAAGGCATGGATTGTACCAATAACCAGACATGGTTATTATGCGGGCTTAGTTTCTCAAGATAATGCACTTAAAATCTTCAACTTTTATGAGGATATCAAAAGTTACATGCAGACTGATGGGAGAGGGTGGAAACATCCTGATAGTAATATACAAAATTCTATGAACATTGTAGTACCCAAATATCATCCCAAAACCTGCAGAATTAATAATGCTTGTCAGAAAATTGCGTTCTTTGAGAAAACAGCATCAGGTTTGAAAGTGCCTATTCCGTACATTAATTGGGATGAAAACGTAAAGACCATGTTTGTACCTCTTAGAAACCAATCTTTAATATCCCTGAATTCTTCAGATTCTTCAAAGGCGTTATTTCAGTATTATGATGCTGCAAGATGTTGTATACGCGAAATTGATACAGCAGATCCATATGATTTCGATAAAAGATTACAATTGTGGCTCTTTCGGGATATAATCCCACATTTAAATGACGATCAACTCTATCTTGCTTTAAACAGTGTATTAACATTAATAAATGATACACAAGCTTTACCAGAAATGAAACCAACGGACAAACCATGTGTTTCATACATACCAATTAGTTTTAGCTCGAAAAAATTTATTATTGTTATTGTGATCCTATTACTAGAAATTGTATGGTGCATCCCAGCCTTTTTATATGTAACTATATGTTCTAGGAAAAGGAAAAAAAGTTGTAACAGTAATGTTTTTCTTTTTGTTGATTCTCATAATGATACAGACGGGAGATTTAGTAACACAACAACGAAATCAAACGATACTAGCAAAAAATATATTCGAGGAAATGCTGGAAAAAGTCAAATATCTGAGCATGATACTTCATCAAAGAATGTCCGTGTTCCGAGTGATACGTGGTGTGATAATAATGGATTCAAAATACAACAGAAACCTCGTCTACGCCACGTAGAAGTTAAAACACCATTTTCTGAAAGAATTCCATCAAAATATTCTATTGGTACAGGGACTCACTCACATGTTTATACAAAGGTTTCCTCCGCTGATATCGTAACTGTAGTTAATGAATCTAAAGTAGGTATAATCAAGTCTTCAATTAATAGTATATATACACATAAAAACGTAATAGCATCTGCTGATAAGGCGGAAATAAAAATTCTGAACATACATAATTGTACATCAAATCAAACGAAATTGGACCAATCTATATCAAGTAAATCTGAATCCAGTAAATCTATATCGAAAAAAGAGATATTATGTGATTGTAATTGTACACCTGTAAATAGTACAAAAACTGAGAGCTTTGTCACAATTCATGAACTGGAACCTCGTAAAACTATCACGTTATTTAAGGGTCTTGAAACGTCAAAAGAAAGCATTGAATATCCTTCATTGAGTGTCCCTCATTTAACTGCACCCATCGAAAACAACCAAACTAAAGCCTTTCTTGACGGTGATCTAGTTCGTGAAATACAAGATGAAAAATGTCCCTGTATGTCTTGTATAAATGATCAGCCCTTACTCTGTATCAATAAAGTTAATAAAACTCAACATAAATTGTCAATAAGAAAGCCAACTCATACTGAAAAGGTGACAAAATTAGAGAAGTGCACAAAATTCAAATTACCAATACAAACTAAAAGTAATAAACAGCAAGGCTTAAGGTTAAGTTCTGGTAATCCTTATTTAGAAATAAAAATAGATAGACCTCATGCTGAAATTAGTGTGGGTATAGGAGAAACATGTAAGCCAAAAACTGATAAGAATAACAAAGCAAGTAGAATACCTAAAAGGGCTGTAAAAGATAAAGTAGTTCGAGTAAATTATGAGACGTCACGAAGAACTCCTCTGACATCCACAAAACAAAGAAGTATGTTACCACAACCAAAAAAGCGTCCAGTTGATGATATTGTTATTACAAGTAATAAAATCACGTCTCATGGTAGATTGAATGCAACATTATAGCTTTAGATAGGTACCATTATAGATTAAATTATTTTATTTCGTATGTTAATATATGTGTCTTATAAACACCTGCGTTTTAATAATGGAACAAAGAAATTAAACCAAGGGAATGTAAAAACTCCTCTACTTTTGTACAATAGGCCACATAAATATTTAAGGTAATTTAGAGTAGTCTAATACAGAAATAGTCGTAAAGGGTAAATACGAGCTACAACAGTAGTATTCATGATACTGGAATAAGAGAAAATTAAACAAGGAAAGTAAAACTTATGTTTCCTATGTAAATTTAAAGTTGTTGTTGTTGCTTGAGTTTAAGTATTCTGCCAGAACTTTTAACTTATAGACGAACTTTTACAATTACCTAACCTTATATTGGCTTAACCAATCGTCATGAAAGACACACACGTAGTTTTAGGATGAAAAGGAGACTATAGGCTTTTTAGGCTCTTTTAAAAATACCAAGCGGACAAAGTCGTAGACTACTAGTAACATACAAATATTATTTACTTAAATTACATAATCTAATATATCCAGCTGTATATAGACACAAAACAATATATTCCACACTGGTCCCCTCCGTTGTACTAATCACGCTGACGAATTTATTGGCCACGATCCGGGTGAATTATGCCCGGGTGGGCCGCTTGAATTATTGCATATTTCAACCGGCCAGCTCAGGTGGCGGAGGCACAAACACTAATCTGTCATTACAGCGGTCCATTGCCACTTAGCAAATTGAGTGGACGCTCGCTCCTATTTTATTTATGTTTGGGCGTAGGTGGAATACAACAGGTGGTGTCAATACAAATTGATATTGTAATAATATATTTATTTTTTTATTTGTCCTGGAAATATTTGTATTCTCCATAATCCATTCAAATTACATTTTAGTACTATTTCTAGGTACATTTTATAGGTCATTTTTAATCAATACACTATTCACACTGCTTCTTTTACATTAATTGACAAATTTTATTAACGATTTATAACCAAAACAGTTTTGAATTCTGTCACAAACCATTTCCCGACAAAATGCATTTCTTTGTTTTTTACATTATCGTTTCAATTGTTCCTTGTTCCACTGAAACAGAATTAAGAGAAATTAATGACATTTTATGCTGAATAGTATAATTATTAGTCACATCAGAAAATTAGGGAAATCAACATTTCGTTTCGATTAATTTTATATTACTGTTTGCAAAGAGTTATACTTTAATTCAAATACTTTTGGAAGGTAACGTTTCTTTTTCACTTGGGCCACCCGAATTTTTAACAATTTTTGGACTATTATTTTATTTTAATCTTTCTACCATCAACCCCTATTTTTAATAGCGATATTAATTTATATGGCATACAACGATTGTCATGTCAGCCAGCATAAAATAAAAATGTTGAATTCCCCAATTTTGTTTTGTGGCTGCCAGGATGAAGCATTAGTGAAAGCTTTACTTTTTTTTTCAATATATTCTCAATACCAACCAGATGTCCGAAATTACCCGTTTTGACCAACTTCAGTGTCCGTAAATTAGAACGGCGCTAGATTGTCCCCTAATCCGGTGTCAATCGGGGATTACAACTGCCAATTGGTTGTAATCCCACAACATTGGCGATTGGTGGCCCACTATTTATTACGGGTTGGACACCCTACTCGATTACTCTTTAACTAAAGTTTGCTTCAATTGATTGTAAGAGATTTATAAGGCTCGGTTAACCACTGAACTATAGGTATTCTTAATCCACATCTATTGTATGATTATAAAAAAATATCAATAACTATACATATTACCTTTCATGTAAATACGTCAAATTGTTTAAGAGTAATATAGCAACAATTCATTTTAATAATAATCATTTTAGCAGCTAATCATTTAAAGCTAATATCGTACTATGACCTGAAAGGACCTCCATTCAGCTAATGCCAAAGCGTGTGACTGCAGCGCTGATTTTCAGTTCCAAAACTCCTACGTTATTAATATATTTATAACCGATTATCCACAATTAACAAAAAGTATGTTTAAACTTATAATTATGTTCATGAATTTTTGTTATAATTTAATTGAAAATTTATATACCTTGAAAGGTAAACAGGCTTCCCACTGACCTGATGGTGGTTATTATCGCCTATCAGGTAACTGACCTCTACAAACAGCTCTTTGAACATCATATTATCATGTGTAAACCGCTCATGCGTTGCCATTTCTGAGGATTAAGATGTCATGCCTCTTACCCTGTAATTTCACTGTCATATCTCACCCTTCAACCGAAACACAGTCTACAAAGTAAACTGCTTGACGGCAGAAATAGCTAAGACATAAGTGCCTTAGGGGGAGGAAAGGAATTATTATTAATATAGACTGATGATCCCATTGCTAGCAATGTACCATGCCAGGTTGACTTCCAAAGAGCACCCGGAGAAATCATCATGATAAATTCATGGCGAATTTTTCTCGATGGGCTAACTGACCTTGACCTCGTATTCATCTTATCATTGTCCACTTGTGCCCCGCCAGAGTAAACTGTTAGCGCAGACGGGTGCACCATTCCATTATCATCCATAAAAAAAACTAAAAAAGTAGTTTAAATTAATGTATACATATCTTAGTATATAATATATACACTATGTAATATAATAAAAATTACAGCATAAATATTAGTAACTAGAAAATATTTTAAATAAATTGAAAAATATACACAAATTTATATAAATATCACAATTACTTCAACAAATTGCACCAGATAAAGAGATTAGCGAGTATAAATTAAATAAACATAACAGAGGGAATCCGGAGTTCACTGATTTATTACCGGGTCTAGAGGACCCCAGATTACTGTGTCCAATCCCCAACGAAATCGCACCGATAAAGTGCTGTAATCTAGCATATTTCTGACCCATATGCTTAAAAGTAGGTAATAAAATACGCTATATAAATGCATCGAACATCCACGTGTTTTAGTTACTTTTCTAAAAGTATAGACTAATTGTGACAATAACAATAATTTATTTATCTTTACATTGTAAAAAATCGTTTGTCTATTTTTCTTGTTGTCTGGTTGTCTATTAGGATTTCAAATTTAAAGACGGATGCAGGAAATATAATATATATTTTCACTGATTTGTTTCTTACTGATTATGAGTCAACATTAGAGTCCAAAGAAAGCTCAGAAAAATATCAATATTCCTAAAAGCATAATTCCGCATTAATCTAGTAAAGACCTCACTTTTATATTTTAAGACGAAGAAAAAAATATTTTATGAACTCAGCGTTATCTCACAAAAGAGGAGCTCTTTAAATTAACCCGTTGACAGTCCACGAATTGGCGAGACACCGCGACACCGCTGCCGACTTGTAAAGCCATAATTTAAACAATATCACTCCCCTGTTTGCGAAACCCAAGATTTTCCGGCGATAACCGTCCCCAACCCCTTATCTCAGTAACGGGCAATCCCGGAACCGTTGGTGAAATAAGACAAGAGAATATAATACTTAAGGAGACAAGGTGGTAAGTGTGGCCAAGCAAATCCACATTTCTAATCGAGGTAGATAGGTTTGTTTGTAATTAAAGGAGTGTAACGAGCTCCCCTGGGACACGGTGTCGAGATACCAGGATGATATTCGCTCTATGCGGCAGATGTCGCATGAAAAATGGGAATTGGGTAGCTTCGGTTTGCTTTAGATATGTGAATATTTTTACTTCATAATTTAAGATTTTGTTATCTACAAACTAAATTAAAACCTACGAAATTAATGTGAGATGAAAAAAATAATATTAAGATAATAGAATACGATGGGAGTTGATGGGACTCCCAAGTATATTTTATTAAAAAACTAAACTACCACATTAACACTGCAGAAATCCATTGGAAAAAAATATTGAAATTTGTTTCATTTTTTACTATTTAATTTAGCTAAGTATATTAAAAAATCTATATGCACAAACACACACAAAACTACTCTTTAATTAATACGATTATAGTCCTCTGTATATTTGGAAATTCCTACTTATTTAGATATCGTTCTATTTAATTTTCTTGTGCCAAAACCACGACCTCACTGTCTACAAGCAGTAATAAAACAAACATGCAAACAAACACAAAACACACAGTATAATCACCGGCTTGCAAACATCTTGTGTTGCCATTCAATTCATTGAGCTCTCGATGTCAACTAACTAAATAACGGTGGAATTTTAGGTATGAACGGCCATTTCAACTTGAGCTGTCTACCGTCGTAAGCTCTTGTATTTCTATATAGCTGTACAACGATGGAAGGGTCTTGTTTAGTTTGGCGATGACAAATTACACGTTAGGGGACTTAAACAAATTAATCACGGAGTCCAATTTCCTGGAAAACAATGTGGGGTTGAGGTGGAGGAATGGCTGGATTTCGTTATTGCGCGCTGAGTGCCGAAAAACGGTGGCGTTTTGGCGAACATTTTGTGATGTAAGTAATGTTGTATTCGTATATTGCTACTATATATATATATACTTTGATAAATGGAACATTAATAAATTAAATTAATAATCAAAAAAATCCGTAAATGATCTATATTATTAACGTATATTCGATAAATATTATTATATATATGTATATATTGTTAACGTATACTGTCTTTCAAAAACTTGTCTTTCTGTGCATACGAAACAATGTTGCTGGTCCATTGTAAGTCCAATTCATATAAGACAGTTTTTCAACTAGCACGAAATTTTTATATGTATTAATGTATTTTTTTAACTGTATACCCTCAATAATTTTGTTATCTTTAACTTATATAGTTAACAATTTATGTTACTCGTTACATACAACTGCTCTTAATTATTATTTGAATGAAATTAGTCGAATCGAACCCGTGACCATCGAAAGTAAGGCAGTGTGCTAAATCACTAGACCACCGAGACTATCCAAGGCACTATCAGTCTCCTTGTAAGTTTTATTTTTATTATTAAGTGTATACTTATCTAGTAATAAGTTATGATTAATGTGTAGAGTAAACAAGAGTTTAGTTTAGTT